GCGTTAATGAAATAGTCAGAAGAGCGTCTTTCCTGTATTTGTGAATTCTCCAAAAAGTCACATTTTCGTATTTTGTCTACAAAAGTTGGCAAACTCCTTCACACATTGAATATTTTTGGATGGCCACCCAAAACTGCTTGGCTTTTGCAATGTCCGGTAATCCCCATTCAAATGTGCGTGAGGATCGGGCGATAATTACGACCTGCTGACAATTTTGCAGTTCGTTTTGCAGATCATCTCCAAAAAGAGTAGGTTTCTATTCTGACCCTCATCTTATCCCCATGCAAAATTTCGTAAGGATAGGGCCATAAATGCGATCTGTATATGATATCCTGATATCCTAACTACTCAGTTTTGTTAGCTGTAGAAATATTACCAAATGTTTAAATCAAAATGGAAATATGCCAAAAATTGAAAAAATATGAGAAAATATTACATAATCAATATTTTCATCTTTAGAGAGATATTTTTATGCGATTTTTTAGACGTTTTTTTTATTTCCTGCCAAGAGGCCATTCTGAATGAGAACTGTCGAAATCAGTTCAGCCGTTCTCGACATATATGAGATCTTTCAAGCATATCTTCTTTGATAGACATATATATCGCACATATTTTGCTATATATCCGATTTGTTGGATGTTAACATCAATGTAAAGATCGGAAGTAACCTTGTCATAGCTTCATGATTTCGCCGGGATTTAAAATAATCGCGGTTTAATGAAAAAGTTTGAATTTTTTCAACAAAAAATTATCCGATGACCACCCAAATTGGTAGGCTTCTTCCCCGCCCTCTAGCTACATGCGAAATTCCGCGTCGATTGGTCTATAATTGCGACCTGTATAGCTACTGAAAAATCCGACATTTTTTCAGTATTTGGTCCATTTCAACCCCTAAACATTTGGCGATCATCTCCAAAAGAAATAGGGTTCTATTCTGACATTAACCCCACCTACATTTTAAATTTCGTGAAGATCGGGCCATAATTGCGACCTGTAGAGTGATTACAAATTAACATGGACAGACGGACAGACGGACGGACGGACATACATAGCTAGATCGACTCAGCTCGGCGAGCTAGGAAGATCCATATATACTTTCCTATATGGGAAACCAATATTTCGAGGTGTTACATAAATTCTGGCCCAATCAAACTTATAATACCCCCAGCACATAGTGTTGTAGGGTATAAATAGACTCAAAAGAGCTGAAGAGTCGCTTCGCTTGGCCGAAAGTGGTGAACTGCCGAATTTGGTTTTGGTTGGACTATTGCGTCTTGAGTATTTTAGAAAGCAATCATATCAAGCAAGCGCTCCGCCGGGAATGGGTCAAAATACTGCAGAGCAACATTCGGGCAGAGTGTGACGGTTTCATTGGCCGTTTGAAGGCCATAATTCGTGCCAAAGGTGGCCATTACGAACAAATCTATATTTGGAACAATTATGATTTGGGCGAACCGATAAGGTTGGAATCCTGAAATTTTGAATTCGGATGACTGTTGAAGTGTACGATCGAGGTATGTACTAAATGGTACTAAATTTAGTAAAATTAGGATTAGGGTGAACCGATAGGGCTGTGACCCTGAAATTTAGAACTAGGATTGGATTATGTAGAAACATTTCGAAATTTTTACTTTTGGGAACTAAATAATACTAAATTTGGTACACATTGTATTTGGGTGAACCTATAGAGCTGGAGTTCTGAAATTTGGAATTATTTTTGGAGAAAAGTATTGCAAGAGTCCAAATGTAATTAATCTGACAAAAGTTGGTATTGATTGGACGGATACAGTTAGATTTCCGAATTCTAGTGTTGGAGTCAGAATTGATTTGAGGTAGTTTTGAAATTACGTACCGTAGGTATAGGAGAGGTATTTAGTGGTACTCAATTTTGATCGATATTGGTGTGTAGGTTTGCGCTATGAAGTGGTACTCAATTTTATATTTGCGTAAGAAATTGGTAGTCTAAAATGTGGAAAAGTCCTAAATATGGAAAATTTGTGCGGTTTGGTTGATACATGGCGTGGGATTTGGAAACACCTAATAATTGGTACGGAAATGACTGAATAGTAATAAACGTTGGTATTCGGGGAAGAATTAGAGCTGGAAATCTGAAATTTGGAATGAGAGATTTTAAGGCTGAAAGGCTTTTTGCAATTCTAACGATGCATGAACCATACTAAAATTTACTAAATTTGGTACCATTTTGAATTATAGGAACGGGTGGGGAAGAAAACCTTGAAATTTGATGTGAAAATCAAGCCTCTGAATTAGGGTTGAAATAAGGAGGATGTTTTGGTATATGTTGGTTATATATTGGTTATATATTGATATGAGAATCAAGCCTGTGAATTAGAGTTGATATAAAAATAAACTTTTGTTATATGTGGGATAGTGGTTGAAATCTGAAAATTGGCACTAGGTTGGGCTAAACAATTCTCTTAACATAAATTTATTTTATATTAATTCCCTATTCTGCATACGAAGTAGGGGGCTCTTGCTAATAGAAAATAATTAATCTCATCGAAAGGGAAAGCATCATTTGATTTAGTGCAAACTTTGCAAATTTAAATATTTTTTCAGTGCTAGGTCAGGTGCGAAAATGGAACCACTCCAACTAGTACCTCTCCCACAAAGGGTCAACATTTGGAATAATCAAAACTCTTCTAAAATGTGATGTAAGAGTTTGATTGTCTTCAAATTTCACACATTTTTCATTTTTATTAACATAAGATCTGGTGTGAAGGTGGGACACTTCTTCTAGTAGCTCCCCCACAACGGATTGAAATTTTGAATAGGCATGAAGCTCGTAAAACGTAAAATGAGCATCTGATTCCTTATAAACTCGGCACATTCCAATATCTCTACTAAAACAAGATCTGCATTTATGACTTCTCAATTTTTTATTTTATTTTTACTTTTTATTTTTATTTTTTTTTTTTTTTTGGAAGAACATGACTCTAAAAATGTTTGCTTTAATAATTCCAAGAACAAAAACAATAAATAAAAAATCCCCAGAATGTTGATAGTTTACTGGTTATTTTGGCAATTAGCGAACATTGCTTGCAACTATGTAAGTATGTGCACATATATACATCTATTGATGGATTGGACTCTACTATTTTTAATCGTCGTTTGCTAAAACCGGTCGTTAAGCTCAATGCATTGCAATGACTTGAGTGTTGAACCAATATATTTGAATTATTATTCATAAATAAAATATCTGAACAATTTAAAGTGTTCTGTTAAAATTGAGAACGGGTTATTATTAGAGCACAAAAATTCGCAATTAAAAAAATATTTAATTTTATGCATTTAGCAGAATTTTTTTGCAAATTAGAACTACGGTCACACAATTTAGATTTTTTGAGATATAGGCAATTTGTAGAATTATTATTATTATATTATTATTATTATTATTATTGAGATAATGAGAAAAAACAATTGACATTATTTGAAAGGACCTTCAGAACGAAAATTAAAATTTGGACAAAAAATCCACCATACTATGGAGGGTATATTAATTTTTCAGCGACTTTATTCACCAGAATTGTTTTAAATTGGCTATTTGAAGTTCGTAATGAATACTAAATCCTAAGACAGAAAATTGTCAGTGCAGGTCCACGCCTTCGTATAGCCCACATATAACGGTACCTACCGATAATCGGTTTTTTAATGACTGTAGCTACATTATTCACCGTTTTTTTCTAAGTTTAGCATTTGAATATTGTTATGGCTTATGAAAAAAATTACCTATGCAGGTCCATGACGTAGTATTGACCCTAATATAACTGCTATATTCGGTATTTCTAAGATTTTAAAGGATTTTATTGTTTTTAAGAATTTTGTTGTTGCAAAATGGTTAGGCTTAATCTTAATCTCTTAATTGCCAAATTCGTTCCAAATGGTGGAGGGTATTCAAATTTAATTCAAAGTTCGGCCCGGCCGAACTTACAGCTTTCCAAAATACTCTAGATACAGTAGTCCAACGGATTGATATCCGGAGATTTTGGTGGCCATTGTGCACTGGAAATAAAGCGAGCAACCTCATTTTGTAACTATTCTTGGGTGGAGCGTGCTGAGTCCTGTTGGAATGTCCAAGGTCTGTGGCGAAAATTTGCGTGCCCAAGCCTTTAAAACACCCTCCAGAATATTTTCGCTTTAATAATTGGCATTTATTCTGATACCACGGTCGAATTATACGAGCGGAGGGCGACTATTGGCTGTTATGGCGACCCACACCATCACCATGGCCGGCTTGAGACTTGAGTTCTGGTGGCCAACCGACGGTGCACAGCTGACCTCTTTGGCAAGCAAACACGATCATTTTGCTTGCTTACAAATTGCTGGACAACGAATGTGTTCTCATCGGAGCGGAGAAAACTAAATTCGGCAGTTTACAACTTTCGGCCAAGCGAAGCAACTCTTTAGCTCTTTTGAGTCTATTTTCTTTTTGTTGCGATGTGAGTTCTTGCACTTTTTGGAATTTCAATGGCTTTACCCCGAACTCATTTTTCAATATTTGCCGAATGGAATATTGCGGTATGTTCAGCTCACGAGCCATTTTGCGGCCACTGCGACACGGGTTTCGATCAAGTCGCTTCTTTACTTTACGAACCATTTCTGCTGATGCTGCTGTATTCTTCCGTCCACCTCCTTGACGTCGGGCTACGCGACCATCTACCAGTATCACGGTAACGAGCGATGGTACGAGACACAAAACATTTATTCCCATTTAAATGCTGGAGTGCTCTGACGATAGCCACTTGTGGCTTTCCAGCCAAATATAAAGAAATCACACTATCATGCTTGAATTCCATTTGTAGGCTCGTAAACAATGTACTGAGCTGTCACTGAAATAATTTTAACAGTTGTCGGACGAGTGGCTTAGAAGTGATAGCAGTCTGAAGTTGGTTGCAGTCATTTTACCCTGTATATTAACTTCTACCTTCACAATTTATAGAGAAAAAATTAAATATTAAATATTTATTTTTTTATTTCAATTAATTTAATTAAATATCACAATACAGCTTTATATGTTTTTTCAAAGGGTTCAAACTCTTGCATCTCCCTATGAGCTGCATGCCTGTTTGCCAGGACCAAAACAGCCAGCAAATGCCATCAAATACGGCAAAGTACTCTGTTCATAGACACCACTGAATAAATCGGACCAAGGACCTGAGGCATAAACTGCCACATCTTCGGCACTGTGGGTCTCAGATTCCAAGGGTACCGTCGAAGGAAATTGTAGATCAAAATCTAAATCTGAATCTTCATTTTGATTGGTGGGATCATAGCGGACATGGGCTTTTGTGTTGTAAAATTCCCCAAAACTGGGACCATTGGCATAGCTCAAGGTGAGGTATGGCAGCTGGTCTTCACCGAAGGCACCAAAGCCAAAAATGTCATTTTTGCGTTGCTAAGGGAAATAAAAGAGAGAGAGAGTAAAGAGAAAGAGAGAGTAGGGAGAGCAACAATTAAAAATTACTCATTCCGTTTTGCTATAAAAAAAATCAAACTTACAGCATATCCTGAAATACTCATGGTATGAGAATGATCCGAAGCCACCACAATAAGAGTATCATCTACACTGGTCAAAGTTCTGGCCAAGGCCACAGCCTCACTTAGCTGGGCAGTTTCATCCAAGGCCAGTTTGGCCTTGTTATTATGATGGGCCATATCAATGCGACCAGCCTCAATGAAAAGGAAATATCCCCCCTCGCCCTGGCTCAAAACCTCAATGGCCTTGTGGGTCATTTCGGTGAGAGTGGGTTGTTGATTTTTCTTGGAATCCAAGGCCTTGAGATTATATTTCATGTGACCCTCGTTGAAGAGACCCAATAAACGTTTGGTCTTGTCCGCCTCCACGGCCATCAATTCATCTCTGGTTTCCACGAAGACATTTTCGGAATCAAGCTGTTGGAATTCTTTAATTAGATTACGTTCATCCCGACGCTTGCCATCCTCGGAGTAGTCTTTATCCAAAAACTGTGATTTTCCACCACCGAGAATTACTTTGAACCTCCTGCCCACATCTCCTTCCATTAGCTGTAGGGCAATGTCGGCTATACCTGAATTTTTGCCACAATCTGTCTTTACTTTCTTGTCGTTTTCCCAATCACGATCCGCCACATGGGCATAGAGGCCAGCCGGTGAGGCATGTGTCACCCGAGTGGTGGTAACCAAACCCACCTGACGACCACTGTCCAAGGCCCATTTGGCAATGGAGTCCACATGGTGAGCGGGATCTTTCGAGGCCTCACAATCGGCACGCTGAACTCGACCCGAAACACCCACCGTACCATAGTTGGCCTTTACACCACATAGCAGAGCCGTGGCTGCTGAGGCGGAATCCGTTACCAAACGATCAATGGCATAGGTTTTCATTAGACCCACATCGGGGAAACTTTCAAAAGACAATTCCTGTTCCTCACCACCCAAATAGACCCGGGTGGCAGCCAGTGTGGCCAATGACATGCCATCACCCAAAAAGAAAATAATATTCTTGGCTTTACCTCGCTGGGGCCGACTGGCACTGGCATCTTTATAGGCCACAAAACGTTTGCCTTTGTCCAGCCAATATTCCGACTGTACCTCTCCGGGAATTGAACGGCGTCGTATCGAGTGGTCTTCAATGTTGGGATGCATAAATGCCTCACGACAATCCTCATCATCTTCGGCACACTGCAGAGAGCAAGCGATGCTCAGGCAATGGCATAAAGCCAAGAGCAGCAAAACCCGTCGGCAACGTTGCGACGATAACATTTTGTGACTAAATCTCAGAGTTGACTAACTACCAACTAGCCACTCTGGCGGGCTTTTATAAGCAAAAAATTTAATTTTTTTTGTCTTGCATTTGTTTGCTATTGAGTCTTATCAGCCAAGCACCAGGAGAGTCCAGTCTGGCCAGTCAATATCTCGTGATTTGGTCTTTGGCTATCGCACACGTTTCTCGCGCTCATCCATAAAGGAGGTGTGTGCGATTTTGTTATTTGGCTTGTAGTAAAATTTATTAGCCGTTTTGATTGATTTTTATAAAAGGCTATTGCCAACTAGCTGCCTGTCATTCTCCATCTCTCACTCACTCTCATTCTCGAATAGCCTTATTCGAGTACACCTCCACTCATTGACTTTGTATGGCCCATAAATCTCAAAATATCTCCCCAAATTTCCTTCCGGCCGGCCGGTCATAAATTTCGTATTTCGGCTCGATCGATGCCACCAACAAAAATCTCACACCTCCATAAGCGAAAGCATGTGCCAATTGGCCCCCGCTCGTAATCGGCGAATTTAATATTTATTACGCACTTGCCAGCTACTGCTGCCACTTAGCGTAGCGTGACATTCTCGTGCACCGTGTTTTGGCCAATACAATTGACGGTGGTGTACAAAGTACGACAAGGTATGGTGTTATGTTGCCATGTGTGTGAGTGATGGTATTCAATATTTGGGGTGACCATATCGGGTATTGGAAATTGCCTAATAACTGATGTATGGCCTGTGGGGTGTTTGATGTTAATAATGTAATAACATATTAACATAAATAAACATTAGAGAAACTATTGAGAGAGAGGAGAGATTTTACGGGGTTTCTCTCTCTATCCCATTACTATGAGAAAAAATACACAGCCTTAGTATGCCTCCAGCTCCAACTAAAGCTATTATTGAGGGAAGCTTAAAGTAAGGTTTTTATTTTTCAAAATATTACTACAAAAACAATAAAATTATTATTTTTTTAAATAATTACGGGGAAAATCCAATAGATTATTAAAGTAGAGGCAAAGAAAACAAGTAAAAACCCATTAAATTTTTATAAAAACCATAAAGAGGATGAGGCCATTATATGGGGCCATACCAAAACGGGAACCTCTATAGACAAATTTATACATCAAGGATTTTCATCTACCAAATCTTCTTAAATACCAAATTTGAAAAAAAAAATCGTGGGGAAATGTGTCTAGGATTATCAAAATACCGAATATATGGAGGGTATCGTTATATGTGCACTATAAGAAAACTTGGACCTACATATTCAATCTTCTGCCACCCGAGCTATAACCCATAATTAACTACAAATACCAATTTTTAGGCAAATCCGTAGAAAATTGTGGCAAAAATCATCAAAATACCGAATTTTGGGAGGTACCGTTATATGGGGACTATACCAAAACGTGGACCTATACATACAATATTTCGCCACACGAACTAGGGCCCATTATGATCTACAACCACCAATTTTCAGACAAATCAGTGAAAAAATTTGGCAAAAACCACCAAAATATCGAATATCGGGAGGTACCTTTATATGGGGGCTATACCAAAACGTGGACCTATATATGCAATGTTTTGCCACACGTACAGGGACCAGTTATGACCTACAAATACCAATTTTCAGACAAATCCGTAAAAATTTGTAAATGTGGCATAAATCATCAAAATACCGAATATCGGGAGGTATCGATATATGGGGACTATACCAGAACGTGGACCGATATATCTCATTTTCAATACCAACCATGCTAGACACAATACAAATTGCTCTGCTAAATTTTTGCGCTCTACGTCAAATAATGTGGGCTGTATCGTGATTTCAACAGACAGACGGACAGACAGACGTACAGACAAACAGACGGACATCGTTAAATCAACTTTTATGCTGATTATTATTATATATACTTTATGGGGTCTACGACGAATATTTAAGGATGTTACAAACGGAATGACAAAGTTAATATACCCTCCTTTCCAAGGTGGAGGGTATAAAAATAAACAACATAAGAATACCCCTGGCACAACCTAGAGCTATTGTTTAGGGAAAATTTAAGTAAGGTTTTTATACCGTCCACCATTTTATGGCTTTGTCAATCCATTCGTAATTCCTTGAAATATTCATAATAGATCCTACAAATTATATAAAGCGTAAGATGAAAAAACTGCAATCAACTTCAGACTGCTGTCATTTCTAAGCCACTCGTCCGACAGCTGTTAAAATTATTCCAGTGACAGCTCATTCTATTGTTTAGAAGCGTACAAAAGCATTTTGGTGAGAATTTTCCAGAACAAAAGTTATTCGTGATCGGATTCAAGCGTGGTAGTGTGATTTCTCTATATTTGGCTGGAAAACCACAAGTGGCTATCGTTAAAGCACTCCAGCTTTTAAATGTGAATAAATCTTTGTGTCTCATACCATCGCTCGTTACCGTGATACTGGTAGCGTAGCCCACCCTGGGTCAAGGAAGTAGACGGAAGAAACCATCAACTTCAGCCGAAATGGTTTGAAAAGTAAAGAAGCGACTTGATCGAAACCCGCGTCGCAGTGGCGTAAAATGGCTAGTGAGCTGAACATATCGCAATATTCCATTCGACAAATATTTTAAAATGTGTCCGGGGTAAAGCCATTGAAATTCCAAAAAGTGCAAGAACTTACACCGCAGCGGAGAGAAAATAGACTCAAAAGAGCTAAAGAGTTGCTTTGCCTGGCCGAAAGTGGTGAACTGCCGAATTTGGGTTTCTCCGATGGGAAAACATTCGTTGTCTAGCAGTTTGTAAACAAACAAAATGACGTGTTTACTTGCCAAAGAAGTCAGCTGAAAATGTGCACCGGTGCATCGATTGACCACCAGATCTCAAGCGCTGGCCAGGGTGATGGTGTGGGCCGCCATAACAGCCGATGGTCACTCTCCGCTCGCATTAATCGACCGTGGCATCAGAATAAATGTCGAATATTATCGTTGAAATATTCTGGAGGGTGTATTAAAGCCTTGGGCACACAAATACTTTGGCCGCAAACTTTGGACGTTCCAACAGGACTCAGCACCATCGCACTCAACACGCGACCGCCTACCAAGAATGGTTAAAAAATTAGGTTCTTCGCTTTATTGCCAGCTCACAATGGCCACCAAAATCTCCGGATACCAATCCGTTGGACTATTGTGTCTGGAGTATTTTGGAAAGCAAAGTTGGCACTAAAAAATACCAAAGTTCGATCACCTCAAGCAAGCGCTTCGCCGGGAATGGGCCAAAATACCGCAGAGAGTCATTGGCCGTTTGAAGGCCATAATTCGTGCCAAAGGTGACCAATTCGAACAAATCTGGACTTCTTCTAAAATTTGATGCTATTACCGACATTTTTTGCTTTCATTTAATAAATTAAAAAAAAAGATGTAAAAATGATGGCGTTTGACTTTGCTACGGACACCTCTAGATCGACTACACATGCCCTGAAACGGATTTGGTCCAAAGATACCTAGGGTCGACAACCGTCATTTCGATGAGGCAATTTTTCGCGGTATCAAATGATATACCCTCTGTTACCAATTTTTTTACCCTCCACCATAAATAGTTGGGAGGGTATATTAAGTTCGCCATTCCGTTTTTAACACCACGAAATAATAATTTTAGACCCAACAAAGTATATATATTCTTTGAACGCCGTAAAATTCTAAGACGATTTAGCCCTGTCCGTCCGCCCGTCCGTCCGTCTGTTGTAATCATTCTACAGTCAAAACGAATTAAGATAGGAAGTCAAAAATTTGCACATATCTGTCTTTTGTCTGCAGACGGGTCAAGTTCGAAGATGGGCTATATCGGTCCACGATGTCGTATAGCCCCCATATAACATTACCCTCCCGATATTCGTTATTTTGAAGATTTTAGCCACATTTTTCAATGGAATTGTCTGAAAATCCACACAAGGAGTTCCATATCAGTACTTTATACCCTGAAAGAGAATTGTATATATAAGTCCATGATATCGTATAGCCTCCATATAACGGTACCCCCATAATTTGGTATTTTGACGATTTTAGCCACATTTGTCAAGGGAGTTGTCTGCAATTCTACACATGGAGTTCTTTGTGAGTACTTTACTCGATGAAAGAGAATAGTCTTTATAGGTCCACAATATCGTATAGCCCCCATATAACGGTACCTCCCGATATTCGTCATTTTTAAGATTTCAGCAACATTATTCACCGGAATTGTTTTAAATTCCGTGCTGGAAGATCCTAGTGGGTACTACAACCTATGGCAAAAAAATTTCGTATGCAGGTCCACGTCTTCGTACAGCCTCCATATAACGGTACCTCCCGATATTCGGTATTTTTATGATTTCAACGACATTATATACCGGAATTATTTTATTTTTGGTTTTTGAAGTTCGTAATGGGTACTACAGCTTATGACAAAAATTTGTGTATGCATGTCCAAGTCTTCGTATAGCCCCCATATAACGGCACCTCCTTATATTCGTTATTTAGACGATTTCAGCAACATTATTCGGCGGAATCGTTTCAAAATTCGTACTACAGCCTATGACCAACATTTTTGTATGAAGATCCACGTCTTCCTATAGCCACTATATAACGATACCTCCCGATATTCTGTATTTTCATGATTTCAGCAACATTATTCACCGGAAATGTTTGAAATTTGGTATTTGAAGTTCGTTATGGGTACTACAGCCTATGACAAACAATTTCGTAAGCAGGTGCACGTCTTTGTATAGCCCACATATAATGGTTTCCATTGGAGCGGTATTTTTCGATTTTTTTTTTTGAAATTTTTCAAGTGGAGGAGGGTATAAAAAGTACGGCCCGGGCGAACTTAGCTGCTTTTTTTACTTGTTTGCTTGTTAATTATTTAAAAACAATAATATTTTGTTTTTAACAATTTTTTTTAATTTATTTTTTCTGTAAAAAATATTTTTTTTTTTGATTTTTTTAATATATTTTTTTAAATATTTTTTTAACAATTTTATTTCCAAAAAACGGTTCTCGTCAAAAATATGGCCTCCCCAAAGACCCATATCTATAAATAAAATCTGAACACAAAATCACAGATAACTCATTTAGAATTCTCAGAAAAAGAAAACAAAGTTATTTTTCAACAACAGTGATTTTACAAAAAAAAGATTATTTTTAAAATCTCTAACCTCCATCTCCGATAACATTATCTCCAAACTAACAATATTGATATTTTCGAAAATAAAAAAATCACCAATATCTGCAACAAAATCAATAATTATGTATGAGGAGTCTTGCTGCTACTGTTGGCGTAAGTGCCAAATCTAATGATCGTTCGAGTCAAGTGCAGGTACTGACCGGTGTTAGGTGTTTTGCGTTTTTTCTTTTTATAAAACCCCTACAAATGTTGGTAAATGTGGTTCCTCGCTTCATTTGCAGTGCACAATGGCCACCAAAATCTCCGAATACCAATTTGTTGGACTATTGTGTCTGGAGTATTTTGGAAAGCAAGGTTGGCACTAAAAAATACCAAAGTGTTGATCACCTCATGCAAGCGCTTCGCCGGGAATGGGCCAAAATACCGCAGAGAGTCATTGGCCGTTTGAAGGCCATAATTCGTGCTAAAGGTGACCAATTCGAACAAATCTAAACTTATTCTAAATTTTGATGCTATTTCCGACATGTTTTGCTTTCATTCAATAAATTTTAAATAAAAAATGTGAAAATTATGGCGTTTTACTTTGCTACGGACACCCCTAGATCGACTTCACATGCCCTGAAACGGATTTGGTCCAAAGATACCTAGGGTCGACAACCGTCATTTCGATGAGGCAATTTTTCGCAGTATCAAATGATATACCCTCTGTTACCAATTTTTTATACCCTTCACCATAAATAGTTGGGAGGGTATATTAAGTTCGCCATTCCGTTTGTAATTCATCGAAATATTAATTTTAGACCCAACAAAGTATATGTATTCTTGATCAGCGTAAAATTCTAAGACGATTTAGTCCTGTCCGTCCGTCGGTGTGACCATCTGTTCCAATCACGCTAAAGTCAAAACGAATAATGACAGGAAGCTAAAATATTGCATAAATCTGTCTTTATAGCTATAGCCCCCATATAACGTTACCCCCCGAAATTCAGTATTTTTAAGATTTTAGCCACATTTTTCAATGGAATTGTCTGAAAATCCACACAAGGAGTTCCTCATAAGTACTGTATACCCCTGGAAAACAATTGTCTATATAGGTCCACGATATCGTCCACGATATATAGGTCCACCCCCATATAACGGCACCTGCCGATATCCGGTATTATTATGATTTCAGCCAAATTTGTCAATGGAATTGCCTGAAAACCCATACAAGGAGTTCCTGCTGAGTACTTTACCCCATAGAGAAGAATTGTCTATGTAGGTCCACGATATCATATAGCCGCCATATAACGGTATCCCCCATTATTCGGTATTTTTATGATTTCAGCAACATTATTCACTGGAATAGTTTCAAATTTCGTACTGAAAGATCCAACCTATGGCAAAAAATTTCGTATGCAGGTCCACGTCTTCGTATAGCCCCCATATAACGCTACCTCCCGATATTCGGTATTTTTATGATTTCAACGACATTATATACCGGAATTATTTCAAATTTGGTATTTGAAGTTCGTAATGGGTACTACAGCTAATGCCAAAAATTTGTGTATGCAGGTCCAAGTCTTCGTATAGCCTTCATATAATGGTACCTCCCGATATTCGGTATTTTGCTTATTTTAGCGACATTATTTACCGGAATTGTTTCAAACTTGGTATTTGAAGTTTGTAATATATACTACAGCATAAAACAGAAAATGGGCCATGTAGGTCCACGTCTTAGCATAGCCCCCATAATGGTACCACCCCCCATTATTTGGTATTTTCATGATTTCAGAGACATTATTCACCGGAATTGTTTCAAATTTCGTATTGAGAGATTCTAATGGGTACTACAACCTATGGAAATAAAAATTTTATAGACCCTATATAACTGTACCTCCCGATATTCGGTATTTTGATGTTCTTATCGACATTATTCACCGGAAATGTTTCAAATTTGGTATTTGAAGTTCGTTATGGGTACTACAGCCTATGACAAACAATTTCGTAAGCAGGTCCACGTCTTTGTATAGCCCACATATAATGGTTTTCATTGGAGCGGTATTTTTCGAGGGATTTTTTTTTTTTGAAATTTTTCAAGTTTCTTCCATATGGTGGAGGGTATAACAAGTTCGGCCCGGCTAAACATATCTGCTTTTTTTTACTTGTTTGCTTGTTAATTATTTAAAAACAATCATTTTTTTGTTTTTAACAACTTTTTTTTAAAATTTTCTTCTGTAAAAAATATTTTTTTTAAAATTTTTTTAATATATTTTTTTTAATATTTTTTTTAACAATTTTATTTCCAAAAAACAGTTTTCGTCAAAAATATGGCCTCCCCAAAGACCCATATCTATAAATAAAATCTGAACACAAAATCACAAATAACTCATTTAGAATTCCCAGAAAAAAAAAACAAAGTTATTTTTCAACAACAGTGATTGTACAAACAAAAGATTATTTTTAAAATCTCTAACCTCCATCTCCGATAACATTATCTCCAAACTAACAATATTGATATTTTCGAAATTAAAAAAATCACCGCTAACTACAACAAAATCAATAATTATTTTTGAGGAGTCTTGCTGCTACTGTTGGTGTAAGTGCCAAATCTAATGATCGTTCGATTGAAGTGCAGGTACTGACCGGTGTTGAGTGTTTTGTGTTTTTTTTTATAAAACCCCTACAAATGTGGGTAATTGAATTCAGTCGACAATTTACGCTCAAATCCAACAGGTGCTGCCGGTAGTGCCGTGGTCTGTACGTCGTGGTGTTGGTTGGTCTTTGAGTTCGGCAAAGAAACTGAAACTGGTTTTGAAACGCAAGACCAAAACAGAAAAGAAAATAAAATGCATTTGTTTACATTTGTGACATTAGCAGCGGTGGCTTGGGCCAGCAAAATAGGTTTGTATTTTGTCTTTTTTTTTTTTTGGAGACAGTTTGCATTCTCTTTGTTTTCGAATTCGAAATTTGGGTTAATTATTCCATATTTTTTTTTTTTTATTTCTTTGCAGATGAGACTCATCCCCATTTGAAACCAGTTAAATTCAACAAAGCCCAAACGGTGCGAAATATTAATGAATTGAATCCGGAGTATTGGTACGAAAATGCCCAAACGTATTTGGAGCAAAAATTACAACAACAAAACAAGTTGAATATGAATAAGGCCAAAAACGTCATACTCTTCTTGGGCGATGGCATGTCGGTGCATACCCTGACCGCAGTGCGTTCATATATGGGTGATGCCTCCAAGCAGTTGGCCTTCGAAAAATTCCCCTATGTTGGCCTCTCGAAGACGTTTTGTGTTGATCGCCAAGTTCCCGATTCGGCCTCAACATCGACGGCCTATTTGAGTGGTGTCAAGGGGAATTATGGTACCATTGGGGTTAATGGACAAGTGCTGAGATTTGATTGTGAACTGGGCCAGGATAAGTCATTGCATACCGAAAGCATTGCCAAGTGGGCACAGGATTCGGGAAAACGTACTGGATTGGTAACCACGGCCCGGGTAACCCATGCCTCACCGGCCGGTGTTTATGCCCACACCGCCAATCGTGAATGGGAGCATGATGGTAAAATCAAGGAAAACTTATGTGACCCCGTGGCCAATGTGGATATTGCCCGGCAATTGGTGGAATGGGAAGTGGGTTCCAAATTAAATGTCATCATGGGTGGTGGACGTAGGAACTTCCTCAGCGAATCTATGGTAGATGAAACTGGAGTGCCCGGTAATCGCACAGATGGCCGCAATTTGATTGAGGAATGGCTAAAATTGAAAAAGGCTGAGAATCTGAAAGCCTCCTATGTTTGGAACAAGCGGGATATGGAAAAGTTAGCCACTCAAGATGTGGATTACGTTTTGGGTTTATTCTCGGCCTCCCATTGTCCCTATCACGGGGACTTGGAACGTGAGGGTCTCAAGGATGACATACCATCGTTGAGTGAAATGACCGAGGCGGCCATAGGTTTATTGCAGCAGTCCAATGAGGGTTATTTCCTCTTTGTGGAGGGAGCCAAAATTGATATGGCCCATCATGATACCAGGGCTAGGCGTAGCTTGGAAGATACCGAAGAATTTAACAGAGCTGTAGAGAAGGCATTGGAAATGACCTCCAGTGAGGATACCTTAATTGTGGTCACATCGGATCATTCACACACCATGACCATTGGTGGTTATCCGGTAAGTTTTGAGAGGATATTTTTTTTATTTTTTTTTTGTTCAAAATTATAAATGGGATTCAGAAATAAGGTACGGTACGGTACGAAAGTAATAAAAGGTACAAAATATGGTACCTTTTTATTTGAGGAAGCAGTAGAGCTAGAACTCTTAAATTTGGAATGAGGGTCACTGATGGAGTGTATGATAGATGTACCGGAGGGTTTTTGGAAATTTACACTATAAGTGTACGAAAAGTACTAAAATGTACTACATTTGGTACCATTTCGTACCATATGAACGGTTGAAGCTAAAAACTTGAAATTTCGAAGGTTGAGGGGTAGATTCGATATAAGGAGGTCGTTTAAGAAGTGTGTACGCTCGTATACGAAAAGTACTAAACGGTACTAAATTTAGTACAATTTGAATTTGGAGGAAAAGATGGAGCTGAAATCCTGAAATCAACACTACTGACGGAGTGTAGGATTGCAATATGGGTGAGGTTTCGAAATTTTGTACTTATGTACACGAAAAGTACTAAATGGTACTAAATTTGTTACAAATTCGATTTGGTTGAACCGAAAGAGCTGGAATTTTTAAATTTAAAAAATAAAATTACTACTGCCTTTAAGGACTAAGGAATGAAGGCAGTTTTGGAAATTCGTACTTAAAATTGTACGAAAAGTACTAAATGGTACTAAATTTGGTATTGGTCGAAAGTATAGAGATGGAATCTTCATCCCATCACAGAGTTAGTTTTGTAACCAAATCATTCCCATAGATTTCTAATTTAAAAATATTTCTCTTCCTCTTTCCAGTCCCGCAATGCCGACATCTTGGGCCTCAACGAAGATGTTGCCGAAGATGGCCTGCCCTACACCATAATGTCCTATGCCAATGGTCCGGGTTATGAAAAAACTTTCTCCGCCAAAAAGGGACGCAAAGATCTGAGCGATGTAGATTTCACCAATCCTAAACGTAAATATATGGCCGCCGTGCCATTAGAATCCGAGACCCATGGAGCCGATGATGTTGCCATATTTGCCAAGGGACCAATGGCCCATTATTTCAGTGGCAACTATTTGCAAACTCACATCCCCATGCTGATGGCCAGGGCGGCACAAATTGGTCCATTTGCTAGATGAGCAAGCCAATGGATGGAGGATGGAGAGTGCGAGAGGAAAATCAATAGCATTTATGTGATATAGTTTTGTGTGTTTGTTTTTGTATAGAAATTAATTTGTTGTATATATTTATCTAATCCAATATAAAAAAGAAATATTTGCTGCATTGTATTTCTGGACGCCTCTAAAAACATCCTTGGGCAGATATGGAGAAAAGTGCAAACGAAGGTAGATGAAATGAAATTCTAGGATTTAATTAAATTTATTCATAACAAATAGAGAAGAAGAAGAAAAAAACGAACAGGTGTAGTGTTGTTGCTGATTTTTTTTAGTAACATGGAACAATGAACTATGCATTGCAAGACAAGGTAAAAAGCAAATGAACTTAAGTCTTCTTTGAAGAAATGAACTTTTATACATGGCTGGTCAGAATCTTCAACAAATGGCAAATTTTGTAGAAATATATTTAGAATTTCCAAACAATATTCTTCAGGAATTGATGCAATAATCGAACTTAATGGAGTTATCGGCAAAATCGAATAAAATTTTTAATTAAATTTTAAATTTAATTTTTTTAAATAGATTTTTTTTAACGTGGATTTCTAAAGAAGATTTTTAAAGAATATTTTTTCAAGGACCAAGAAAACGTGGATTTTTAAAGAATATTTTTTCAGGGACCATCCAAACGTGGATATTTTAAAGAATATTTTTTCACGGACCATCCAAATGTGGATTTTTTAAAGAATATTTTTTCAAGGACCATCCAAACGTGGATTTTTTAAAGAATATTTTTTCAAGGACCATCCAAACGTGGATTTTGTAAAGAATATTTTTTCAAGGACCATCCAAACGTGGATTTTGTAAAGAATATTTTTTCAAGGACCATTCAAACATGGATTTTTTAAAGAATATTTTTTCAAGGACCATCCGAAGGTGGATTTTTTAAAGAATATTTTTTCAAGGACCATCCAAACGTGGATTTTTTAAAGAATATTTTTTCAAGGACCATCCAAACGTGGATTTTTTAAAGAATATTTTTTCAAGGTCCATCCAAACGTAGATTTTTTTTATAGAATATTTTTTCAAGGTCCATCCAAACGTGGATTTTTTTAAGGATTTTTTTTCAAGGACCATCCAAACGTGGATTTTTTAAAGAATATTTTTTAAATTACCATCCAAACGTGGATTTTTTAAAGAATATTTTTTCAAGTACCATCCAAACGTGGATTTTTTTAACGAATATTTTTTCAAGGACCATCTAAACGTGGATTTTTTTAAAGAATATTTTTTCAAGGACCATCCAAACGTGGATTTTTTAAAGAATATTTTTTAAGTACCATCCAAACGTGGATTTTTTAAAGAATATTTTTTCAAGGTCCATCCAAACGTGGATTTTTTAAAGAATATTTTTTCAAGGTCCATCCAAACGTGGATTTTTTAAAGAATATTTTTTCAAGGTCCATCCAAACGTGGATTTTTTAAAGAATATTTTTTCAAAGACCATCCAAACTTGGATTTTTTAAAGAATATTTTTTCAAGGACCATCCAAACGTGGATTTTTTAAAGAATATTTTTTAAGTACCATCCAAACGTGGATTTTTTAAAGAATATTTTTTCAAGGTCCATCCAAACGTGGATTTTTTAAAGAATATTTTTTCAAGGTCCATCCAAACGTGGATTTTTTAAAGAATATTTTTTCAAGGTCCATCCAATCGTTGATTTTTTAAAGAATATTTTTTCAAGGTCCATCCAAACGTTGATTTTTTAAAGAATATTTTTTCAAGTACCATCCAAACGTGGATTTTTTAAAGAATATTTTTTCAAGGACCATCCAAACGTGAATTTTTTTAACGAATATTTTTTCAAGGACCATCCAAACGTGGATTTTTTTAAAGAATATTTTTTCAAGGTCCATCCAAACGTGGATTTTTTAACGAATATTTTTTCAAGGACCATCCAAACGTGGATTTTTTAACGAATATTTTTTCAAGGTCCATCCAAACGTGGATTTTTTAAAGAATATTTTTTTCAACGATCATCCAAACATGGATTTTTTAAATAATAGTTTTTTCAACGACCATCCAAACAAGGATTTTTTAAATAATAGTTTTTTCAACAAACATCCACGTGGATTTTTTAAAGAATATTTTTTTCAACAACCATAGAAACATGGATTTTTTAAAGAATATTTTTTTCAACGACCATCCAAACGTGGATTTTTTAAAGAATATCTTTTCAAGGACCACCCAAACATGGATTTTTTAAAGAATATTTTTTCAAGGACCATCCAAACGTGGATTTTTTAAAGAATATTTTTTCAAGGACCATCCAAACATGGATTTTTTAAAGAATATTTTTTCAAGGTCCATCCAAACGTGGATTTTTTAAAGAATATTTTTTCAAGGTCCATCCAAACGTGGATTTTTTAAAGAATATTTTTTCAAGGTCCATCCAAACGTGGATTTTTTAAAGAATATTTTTTCAAGGTCCATCCAAACGTGGATTTTTTAAAGAATATTTTTTCAAGGTCCATCCAAACGTGGATTTTTTAAAGAATATTTTTTCAAGGTCCATCCAAACGTGGATTTTTTAAAGAATATTTTTTCAAGGTCCATCCAAACGTGGATTTTTAAAAGACCAATAGACTATCCAAACGTGTATTTTTTTTAGAATATTTTTTCAAGGTCCATCCAAACGTGGATTTTTTAAAGACCAATAGACTATCCAAAAGTGGATTTTTTTAGAATATTTTTTCAAGGATCATCAAACCATCCCGATACCTTCTATTTTAGCTCTACTTTTAAATTTTCTTCCATAATCAGTTTTTTACTCAACAGTGTAATTGCTAATATGCTATAGGAATATACCTGTCGTCTAGTTATTTTTACTTGTTTCCAAAACATATTTTTTATCTCACTTGGCTTTTGTGAAGCACCCTAAAAATATGCTACTCCTATGGAGCTCAAACTCATGCATATAAATTGACATACCAAATACAGGGGATTTCTGCAAACTAAAATGTCTTTGTTTCAACAAGGATTTGCTAGTCGAAATGGACTTAATGAAAAATATATATAAAACACAAAGAAAGAAACTTAAATGGAAAATAAGAAAAAAAGGAAAAAAAAACAAAAAAAGGATCTATACAAAAATTGGCCATGAATTGGATGGACAAAAAAGTAACCAAATATTCCAATTGAAATTGAGGAAAAATTTGCTTTTGAAATTGAAGAATGAAAACAAAAAATATTTGAAATAAAAAAGCAAAGATTTTGTTTCATTGTATTTCTTTTATTTTTTTATTTTATTTATTTATTTCTTTATTTCTTTATTTATTTATTTTATTTATTTTATTTATTTATTGTATTTATTTATTTATTTATTTATTTTTTTTTTTTTTTTTGAGGAAAATATGTTTTCGGACTGCAAATTATCAAATTACAATGTTTATCCCCTGCAACAATGCTAGACAATAAAATTTAATTCCAATATTACATGACAAATATTGTTAAAACTTCAAATACATTTCTCGCTTTGTTGTCTTGCCTCGCCATCTATTGCCTGCCCTGCTGCTGGAAGCAAAACAATTTTCTCCAAACTCCCATTTTGAAATAAAAGTATCGTTTGTCTTTCGCTTGAAAAAGATACAATTACAACATCCCAGTTAGTCTCTTTTAAATGAACGCAATTGATAATAACGATGTTGTTTTACAAAACAGAACTTTTCCTGGGGAAGGATACGATACCATACCACCATCCATGTCCGATGATGAAGACAACGAACGAGGACGATTTCGCCGCCATTGATTGCCGTTGTTGTTGTCTCGTCGTCGTTATTGCACTTCTGTTTTTAGATTGTGTAACAAAGTTCAAATTGCTATCTCGTGTTTCCTTTGTCTTTGTAATGGAGACCCCATAACACATACACTCAATTGCTTACATGGTAACTTATACACAAATACTCGTAGAAAAAAGTACCGCCATTACCACGGATGGAGAGTAGGGTTAAGAGAAAAAAACAATAGCAACCAAAAGGATTGTTATTACAAATAATATGAACTGTGAAAATAACACAGAGAGAAAGAGTGAGTGAGAGTGGGAGAGAGAGTAGAGCAATGCAAGAAAACTCATTTCAATACATACATATCCCCTGCATCTTATCTTAGAATGGGAGATCAAGATGTATAATAAATTGAGTAAAAGTTGCCAGGGCGAAAGAACACACGTGTGTGTGGTTTTAAATTGTAATGGTATTGTCGAAATAACAATAAGATTATATGTGAATGCGAGCAAACGGCAACATTACATGAAATGCGAAATTCCCAATACACTTGACAGCCAAGACACTGAAGAGCGGAGACATGAAAAATTACCAAATATTTGATGTTAAAAAATTACAAGGGGTTATGAAAAGCAGGGTATTAGAGATTTAATACAGCCACTCATTCTTTGAAAATAACCATATAAATTTCAGCGTATTCAGAGGAAATTGTTGCTGTATAAACTATCGAAATTTTCAAAATCTAATACCACGCCGCACGACGTTGAAGAATTAGATGTTACTGGCTATTACCCCCATTTTTATCATCGATTTCAAAAATATTGATATTGAGATGAAAGTAGGCAAAACATTATTATATTAAGATATTTGGGGTAAACGTTGGGAATAAGAAGGTATTTAAGGCAAAAAAATTAAAATTTTTGTTTAAGGTTTTTTTTTCAATTCAAAATAATTACGAAATTGTAAGCTTGTTTAAATTAGAAATTAAAAAAAATATATCAAAGTTGAAATTTTAAGTATATTTTAAAAAATATTGGTTTTCAAGAATAAACGTTGGTTTTGATTTTTTACAATGGGCCAACTTTTCCTGAACATGGACTTAAAAACATTCAAGGGACTAAATGCTCCATAAATGGTGATTTTTTTAACATCGTCATTCTAGAGACCGGTATAACAATTATACTTTATTTGTTTTAAGGAATTTCCTTTCTTTTTTAAAAAATGTTTTCAAGTACTGCAGAACCAAATATTCGTGGCGTCAATAAACAAAACAAAAAAATAAAAAAAGTCCAAATATTTGCAAGTCATAGAGGAATATGGCTTTAAGCATCAAGCCCGACTAAACGTCGATTTTTGAAATTTATTTTCAATTTTTAAGAATAATTTTGAA